AAAGACAGATAAAGAAACTCCATGAAAAAATTTGCCTGTGAGTTTCATAGAGCATTCAACTCCACCAAGTAAATCCAAGGAGTTAAGAGGGGTAGCAGGACAGTCTTGGTAGCCTGTGATGCCTAGTATCCTTATCCACGTATTTGGCTGTAACATGAAGGCATTGTTACGGGAATATGTGCATAGATAACACAATTGCTATCAGTTATGGAATTTGGAAGTTGGCTGGCAACATTAATATCAAAATGTGCAGCCAACACCAGTTTGAAGCTTTATGTTGTTGATATCATTATCAGCAACCAAGCCAAACTATACAGGTTTGCCAAGTTATGCCTGTAAAGCCGGCCTTTAATATTTTATTGGGTTAGGTTAGAGAACTGGATGGTGTTATTATGTTTCTCTGCTTATCAGATCATACCAGAACATTGTCAATAAAAAATGAAATAAATAAACAAATAAGGCAAAAACACTAACAAAATGCATTAATTCAATTGCATTATGCGTTTAATCAACAAATCCTATTGTAGTGACTAGTTTTGAGTTCAATGATAAATTTTGGAACAAGGGGAAAACTTGGATACCTGTCGATGTTCTATATTTCTCCTATGATTTTTCTTCTTATACTTAAAGACAACAAATTTTGCATCCAATCCCTGCATTTGAAATTAGATGGATAAAAAACAGAAGCAAGGGAACATGCTGAGACGATACAACCAGCTGAGAAAGTAAACACAAAATTTTTGGAGTTAGTAAACTACCTGCTCTTCAACAACAGCATTTGTGACAATGGGTTTCCCAAGATAGGTACTTGTTTTTTGTTCCCACAAGCAACACCTTGTTCAGAACAGTCTGGCAAAGTATCAAAATTTGAAACATCTTGAGGCATCAGGAAAGCAGGACAAAAATCTAGGTCAACAATGAATTAAGTTACTGATTTTCGGTACAGAAGTTATATAATTAAAAGAAAATTCTCATCTCTTTCAACAGTTGTAATGTTAACATGAACTGTAATTACGCCAACTTAAGTTTCCATTTGGTTGGAAAGCTCTAACTTTCCCTTTTTTGGTCTCTCCTTCGTATGTGCTACTATATCAGATAAACACAATTCAGATTGCCATTTGAGCAACAGCCACAATCGAGGATTCAAGACAATTCAAACAAACGAGAGTTAAAAGACAAAGCTAATGACTCCCTAAGTCCTGACCAAGTTTACCATGATAGCAAGCTCTCAATAATGAAAAATTAAAGTTAGATAATGTAAGTTGTTAGAGTAATCAGTAAGAGGGTCAAAACAAAAGAGAATTAAAGACACACATGTTGGAATTTTAAGGATTGATCTACTTAGAATTTAGGATATCAAGATCTAATAAAATAAATAGATTGCGTAAATTTTCAACAACACATACCTTATCATTGACATTTGCACCTTTCAGCCTGTGAGTATGGATATATCGTCCAGGGAAAACAACATATTAGTGAGACCCAACCTAAATTAATCAAAACTAATAAATCAGAGATACAGCAGAGTGAACCCAAAACCACAGGTCCACAGTAAACCATTTGGGGCAGCTAAGAATAATCAGAATTATCATATGGGCAAGCAGAATCTCTCTTGGAAATGCATAAAGAAACAAAATTTAATTAAAAAAAAAAACCACCAAAACAATTCAAAACTCCAAATGGGCATCCACAGAATTGCTTTACAACTCCATCAAACGGTAATATTCGAATGGCAAACTCACCATAACAACGGCATAAACATCTTCACGCTTAGGCTCCTCCTTGGTAGCCTCAACAACCTGCACAAGTTCAGGCGCTTTGTCATCGAATTCAGCTTCAATGACGGCAATCTCAGACTCAGAAAATTCGGGTTCTGGAGAAAATGCCGGTTTTGTGAACAAGAGAGGAAAGGATGCTAGCTTCAAAGAATTGGATTTAGAGAGGAAAAGAGAAGGTGTGGTGGGAAAAGATAGAGGGTTTTGGTTATGTGAGATTGTACTTTGAGTAGATAAAGAAGAGCAGAGAGCGAGCATTGTAGAAGATGATGCCATTTTGCAGCTCAAAGAGCTCTCTTTCTTAGCACCTTGTAAGGACCAAGGTGGTTGTCATGTGTGGGAGATGGAGTCATTCCATCCAATTTCTTTTTGAAAGATCGATATGCCCCTCAACTGGAGAATGGATCCCCAGTAAATATTTTGTACAATATTTTGTTGGAAATTTGTGTACTTTTCATATAATAATTTTAAAGTTTCATATCTTAGGACTAGCAGTTCTTTGGAAAATTACTTCTTTAAAATGCACCTGACTAAAGCAAGGGGTGCTCGCATGAAAGTTATTAATTTTGAGATATGCATAAACTAAACTAAAAAGTATAAACAACCTAACCATTTCTAAAATGAATTACTACTACTAAACATTATACCTGAATTGAAAATAAAACAGCATTCGAATGATAAAAATCCACAATTTTGACTAGACTGGTTTTGTTTATTACACTAAGGCAGCTGCTTTTCTCTTTCAGAACTTCCAAGGATTTACTTAAATGTTAATGATCACCACTCTGGAGAGTTACTGGCTTCAATAAAATTCATCAACGTAGAGCACCTCAGACATCCTTCCAACTAAAACAAACGGTCAGTAATATAGAGCTTTGGCCTTGATGTGATTGAATCCTTCCCTAATTATACAAAAACATTGATTTCAGTTAGCAATCTGAGGTGGACTTATCTTTCACTCCAAATTCTTCAGCTAAAGTGAAGTTTAGGTTGCCTCTCATCGTTCTGCTCCTCCCAACCTCTGAATCACCCTTCATCATGGCAGCAAACTCCCCATAATCTATACGTCCATCCTGCAGGTTGACATAATCCCAAGGTAAAAGTCAATGAAAAACCTGATAAATGGTTTTTCTACTCTTAATTCATTCTAATAACTCTAACAGAATATCAATGATGCAACTTATAGCCAATACCAATTTGCACAAATAGTTCTGTTCCTAACCAAATATTTGAATATATCAAACCAATCTCCAGCACGATCTCTATATTTCTTCGAAATTTATTGGAATACCAAATGGTTTTTGACATAAATCTTTAATTGCGAAAGTAATGACTGTTATACCTCAAATAGGAAAAGGAACAAGAACTTTACTGACAATAATGAGAAGGGGTTGCAATTTTAAAACTACCAACTTATCTAACCCAAAAGGAAAACATTAAAAAGGAAGTTCTGCACTGATTTTTGTATTCAATTGATAAATTAGCTTTTGACTGAGTTATCATTTTTGAATAGTCATCAGAAGCTTCCTTCTGGTTAAGAAAAATAGTTCCTCAGATCCTTCTTACCTATATTGACTAGAAATGGACCAAATGGTTCCTTCTTACCTATATGTATTTTAGATGCTTGCTAATTTCCCCAAAGATATTTTCATAAAGTTTGTTTTCAATTACAACATCTAAATACCTGAATAGAATGAAAACAAAGAATATATGATGCTGGTGATGACTGATGACTGATGATAGTTGATACTAACAAATAAGAAAATAAAATTTGTTGATACGCAAAAGCAACTATAAATCTGAAGATCTAATCAACCACAAAGACTTACGTTGTCCTGATCGATTTCCTTGATAATCTCATCCAAATGAACATCACCTAGACCAAAATCTTTGCAAGCCTGTTGAAGTTCATCTATAGTGATATAACCACTACCGTCTCTGTCAAAATAGGAGAAGGCTGCTACTAAATTCTCCTCTCTCTCCATCTTGTTTAAATGCAAAGTAGCGGCAAGAAATTCACCATAGTCAATTGTTCCATTATTGTCAAAATCGGCCTGCCCAAGTTCCCCATGGTAATTGTCATTCAACTCAATCATGTTACAGCAATAGAGAATTATTACACATTGATTAAAGCTACCATAATTTTCTTCTGTGAAAATATATATTTAAAAAAAAGAAAGAAAGAAAGAAAGTTATTTACCGCATCCATTAGAGACTTGATTTCAGATTCCATTAGCTCAGAGCCTACTTTTTTTAAACCATCTTTTAGCTCCTGAAATGTTATTGATCCACTGTTGTCCGTGTCAATCATTTTGAACAGCTCTTTCAAACCACCAATTTCTTCCTCTGAAAGTCTTTCTGCTATGACCTGCAAAACAGTTCATCTTCCAATGTAAATAAATGGAAAATTTACATAAATACAGAACAAATACAATTTTCCACAAGAGAAAACAGACAAATAGATTAAGAATTAACTGCTTGCACATTTTGCCACACAACTGGATTCGGTTCATCATTGGTAGGTTCAAGAATCATGGTAAAAGATGTGAAAAGATGGACTTAAGCCATGAGCTACTGCTTTTATACCTCAAAGTACAATTAGTGCAGCAAGTTTTGATCAACTCTATGGTCAGAACATTTAATATGAGATTGGATTCAAAACCATTTTCAACATACACCAACAAGAGCATTTTAGAATTTTCATACTGCTGGCGGACTTGTATGAATTCTGTAAAGAACAGAAAGCACTCATGTCAACATCCCCACAAAAATTTCTGATTATTAATCATTGATACCCTTTTTGGCTACAAGGGAGCCTCAAACTGTGCGGTTGCAGAATGCAGATATCTTTTGTTTCTAAGAAACCATACTATTAACTAAACATTACAAATGATTAGCACAAGGTGCTATTTTGCAGTTAAATTTATTAGGTAACCAGATGGAAAGCTCACAATCAGATTGCCAGGGCAAAAGTCCCAGACTCCCAATAATATAGATTTTTAATTGAAAGGATGTGAAAGAGGAGATGACACATACACGCAAAGCCATCTTTTTAAGTTTGTTCATTGCTGAGAATTTCTTCAAACGTGACAACACAGCAGAATCCAGAGGTTTGTCTAGGGCAACACTATCATCCACAATCCAGGGGTGACCTGAGACAAAAATCAAATCATTATTACAGAACATGGAAAGATAAGAAACATAGTAGACAGTTTGCTAAAAGCAACAAATAGTAGCTCTAGGCATATTAAGAATTAAAAAACTGACATAGAACTTCATGAGCAGAAATTCTTTTCCTCGGGTCCCTCTCAAGCATCTTTTGCATCAAATCCTTTGCACTGTCTGAGATATTAGGCCATGGGTCAGATTCCAAATCTAGTTTTCCATGCAAAATCTCTCTGAAGATTCCTGATTCAGTTTCTGCAAGATGAAAAGATTGCCACACATTGTCATAGGCAGTATGTGGTGGAATAAAAACAAAAATCAATTTCAGTAAGAAAATGGAATTAGCTACCTGCCCAAAATGGTGGAACCCCACCTAACAAGATGTAAAGGATAACACCAGCACTCCATATATCTACTTCAGGTCCATAACGCTTGCACAAGACCTCAGGTGCAACATAATAAGGACTCCCCACAACATCACTAAAAAATTGCCCTGGACAGAATAAGATGGTGAAAGTAATCTTTAAGTTCATATTTGAGAAAAGGAGTAAAAAAAAAAAAAAAGAGAATTATTGATCTTGGCAACCTCCCAGTGTTTTAGAAAATACCATTTCTGTTTACAGAATCATGTCAGCACAGCACAAGGCAAAGTTCACATACTGGCAAGCATTTCCAACTAGGCATTTTTTTTCAGTTAAATCATCCTGAGGAAAGCACTGGCCAAAAAAGAATATGACAAAAACAAAACCTAAAGAACCCTAAGCAAGAAATGAAAGAATAAACTTAACAAGAAATTTATTCTAACCAGAATATCAGATAAAGACAAGCAGTTACGACGAAACAAACCAATACTGCTATATACTTCAATTGGATTGAGAATTAAAGAATAAGAATCAGCTATGCCTAACTGGAATGAAACTGATGAATCAAAGCGTTGAACACACAACAAGAAGTTTTAACCAATCAAGCCAATTAATAATTAACAAGATCTCAATCAGCCAAAATCAAATAATAAAAAAAAAAAAATTAACAAGATCAAAAGAGAATTCCCAAACAATAAAATCAACCTACACAAGAAATCAGCACCCTTCCATCTTCCGGGTGCACAATCAATAAAAATCTAAAACTTTCAATGAGAAAATCAGCCCCAAATGAGAAATCAAAACCATCCAATAAAGAACAAAAAAAAAAAAGAAAAAAGAAGTCATTTTATTCAAAACCCACAAACCAACCTGGTTTGTAGAACACAGAAAGACCGAAATCCGTAGCCTTGAGTTGGGCATCCTCGCCAGGACTATCAAACAAGAAGTTCTCGGGTTTGAGATCCCTATGCATAACCCCAAGAGAGTGGCATGCCTCCACGACACCAACAATAGTCTTGATAAGCTGAGCAGCCTCTCTCTCACTATAATGCCCCTTTGCCACAATCCTATCAAACAACTCCCCACCCGCACACAGCTCCATCACCAAGTGCACGAATACAGAGTCCTCATAGGTATCCTTGATCCGCACCACATTTGGATGCTCCGATAAATGATGCATGATCTGAATCTCCCTCCAAACATCCTCATAATCTTCACGGCACAACAGCTTCCGCTTTGGGATGGATTTGCAGGCATAAAGATGACCCGTGGCCTTCTCGGAACACAGATAGGTTGTGCCAAATTGGCCCTGACCAAGCTTCTTCCCCAATGAATAGTGGTCTCTCAGTCTTGGGGTCTGATATGGAAGAACCGTGCTTGTGGGTCTCGTGACTTTCGTCGATATCGTCGATTTCCCCTTCCTGCTCATCGCAAATCGCAGATTGGATCCCTCTCTAAGCTCTCTTTTCCCCCCTACGAAAATTCCAGGTTATCCAAGAAAACAATTAGACCCTTTTCAAAAAGATCGATTCTTTTTCATTCCCAGCTCCGGGTTTTCTTTGTTGAACCCAAATTCAGCAACTTTGCCTATCAGATTGGATTGTTGTTGTGCTTTGGTTATGAAAAGTTCTGATCTTCCCAATCTTTTGTTTCTGTTTCGGGACTGATGTTGGATCTTCGTTGGATGCTTCGCTAGCTGTCCTTCCTTAATGGTGGGTTACAATTGAGCACCCGAAATCACTATCCCACCATCCCAATTCCCAACAAAATGCGGGGCCTATGATCTGATGTTGCGGTACAAGTCACTCAGTGTTTCTGTTTGGCAAAACATGCAGATCACCCCTTAACTCATTGATTGGTGGCAAATCACCCCCTCAACCTACTTTACACGCAAACCAACCCCTCAACTCACCTGCAGTGGCAAATCAGCCCCTCTGTTGAGGCTGACATCATTATTTTGTTAACATTTAACTGTCCATTCATAAACCTCACTTTTGAACCAGGCCTTTAGGCCTAATGGTTCGACCCCAAACCTTAAGTGCTTAGGTGAAGTGGTCAGAGTTTCGAACTCCACTACCGTCGTGAATTCCACTAAAAAACGGCCTGATGACTGCACGCCTCATTGGAGGGAGTAGAATGTTCACCTGATCTGAGAACCAGTTGCTAACAACTAACACATACTAACTTTTTAACAATTACCCTTGTCAAAAAAAAAAAAAACCTTTTTTTGCTAAGATGGATACTGAGATGGAGGGCCACCTAGACAAAAGATGATTTTTCAATAGAATCCAAAAAATTATTCTCTACCTTGGTTTTTCTTTTGAAAAAGTACCTAGAAAAAGCATCCAAATTCCTTCCCTTTCATCTCCTTCAAGAAACCATCTTCTTTAATCTCAAAAATTTTTCGGGGGTTGCTTGATCAGAAGCATCATTGTCCAGCAAGACAATAGGAAAGCATCCTCATTGTAAGCGGTGGATTTCTTCTCCCAGAAACGACCTAGCCAAGCGACATTGCTGGGCTCGTTTAAGCAGGGCATTTCGTTGAAAACTAGACCCTGAATCGAGAGCAGAAATTGGAGAATTTTTGACTCATTCGGATTCCATTTTTCAGTCTTTTTCTCGACCCAAGTGTTAATCAAACTCAAACAGACCTTCTAGTTCACGCACAGGTTTGGGTTGATCCGATACCCAAAAGATCGATAGTGAGCCATCGACGATCGACTGGGATAATCAGGCGGTAATGCGATGTCGAAGAAGAAGAGCCTGTCATGGTAAGGCATACCCACGTTAAATGTTAATGGAATGATGATGTCAGCCTTAACAGATGGACTGATTTGCCACTACAGGTGAGTTGAAGGGTTAGTTTGTGCATAAAGTAGGTTGAGGGGGTGATTTGCCACCAATCAATGAGTTAAGGGGTGATTTGCATATTTTACCTTTCATCATAATGAAGAGGCTGAGGTGAGGCCCAACATATTTATATGTAATTTTTATAGAAGACAAGATTAGTTGTGCCACGAGGCAAAACATAGGACTTCATGTCAAAAACACATGGTCATTAAAGGGTCACATCATTTAATGTTGCACACTATTTTTTAAATATTCAAATTGTATCGCTCAAAATGAAGGCATAATTTGTAGTATTTGGTAGGTAAAGTGTGTCTCCATTTTGTTAAAAAAAAAAAAAAACAAAAGTCAATTTCTGTTTGAGAAGAATCCTCAAATCCCCATTCTTCATTTTTCAAATGTACTAGTTTAAGAGAAATAAAAAAGAATTCTCAAATTTCAGTGGATGCAGTCCTCATTTTTTTAATTCATCCTTATTTCAAAACTAATCCTAAGTGATATCTATATCAAATTACAAAATTTATAAAAAAAATTATTTTTTTGTTTAATTTTTTAAAAAATTAAATCTTAATCAATAAAATTAAAAACAAAATTTATTGGCAATTTAACTACAATTCTTTGGTTTTAGTAAACCATTTAAAATCATATTAACTACAACAAAGTAAAATCCAATAACTCAAAGAAAAAAATAGTAATGAAAAAGGAAAGAAAAAGAAGAAGAAGAAAAAAAAGAAAAGGCTAACCTAATTTTTTTTTTTTCCCATCCAATCATGCTAAGAGTAGGGGATGACTCCGGATACTAAAAAAAGTCTTCCCACTCTTCCTAGGTTTCTCAAGGGGGAAGCTAGATGCTCTAGTATGCCATGGGCCACACGTAAAGATAAGACAGCATTGACAATGACTTCCAAGCTACCTTAGTGTGCTTCAACCACAACTCGAATTCCATCATACAGATGGGTCGCGCGCTTTAACTAATGGTTAAAAGATTATTTGTTTTGAAGCTCGAATCTTTAATTGTTAATAATTTTTAACTTAATTACTAATCATTATCTTTGTAAAAAAAAAAAAAAAAAAAACCGCCACTCTGCCTTTTATGGTAGATAAAGAAAGCATGCTCTGGCGATCAGAATGATGCACTCCATTTCCCTGTTTTGTTCAATAGTAGAGCTAGTACTATCCAAGTACATGTTGGAATTTGCTTTAGGGTTAGAGCTTAAAGTGCATTTAGCTCAAACTAATAAATAGAAACTTCAGTCTCTGGTGTAGGGTTAAATCATAGAAGATTGATTTGGAATGAACATCTCCCATCACAAATATTGAAGAGAAACTTCGGAGATCTCATATCCTCATTCCAATCTTTAAAAACAAATTAACTTATCGAATTGTAGCATCCCACTCCCACATAGGAATTGTACCAGAAAACCAAACAGATTCATGGGAAAAACTTCGATAACAAAAACCTATTACCTCCAATCCATTCTTAGTTGTCCAATTTAACTTCTGTACAAAATTTTAATTGATTCTTTTTTATATTGTATAAATGAAAATTGAAAAAAAGAAAAAAGAAGCAAATCTACTCATTTAACAAGAATTATGTATAAAAAGAGTCATTTTTCATTCATTTACCTAGAATTATGTTGAAAAGTCAAAGTGGGCGGCCAAAATGGACTGGAGGTAGTATATGAATTTCTGGAGCGGAGCAGGGTGCAGTTCCCGCTTGGCCAGTAAATTCATATGCCTAATCATGCAAATGTTTCTCTATGACTATCTCAAACGTTGTGAAGTCAATCATGAACATACAAAAAGTCTATATGTAAAGACAGATTTCAAGCTTATTTCAACACACCAGCAGTGTTTACAGAGACGAGATCAAACTGCTTTATACACAACTTTATGATAGATATTTATTTTTTCTCATTACGATAATAGAAAGTTTCATGGGCTCTAGTGCAGATTTCCTGGTCCAAAATGATGCCTTCTTGGCCCGGAATGAAGCTGATATGTCTGGCTTGGGACAACCTGAAGAACTCCTGGTTGTTCTGAAAAAAAGATAGTTATAAACCATTATAGATATCTTCTGGTATGGTATGGCAATGTGAAACAAAAGTTAATAGCTACTAGTTCTCCTCAACTACCATGCATTTATTCTTCTCAGTTCAAGTGTTAATACATTTAGACCTCCTTCATTTCCAAGGATAACATTTGAAGCAAGATTTTCCAACAATTCCATGGGCTTACTTTCAAGGGTGAAAATAGAGCAAAGACACATCTCCAGCCAAAATTCTTAAATGAAACATACAGGTACTAACATACATCAGGATGTACATATAATATTCTACATATTCAAACAAATAAATGAATAAAACCAGCAGACCAAGTTTCATTTTACACATTTCCTAAGGCTAAGAAAACTAGAAAAAGTAAATTGTTGAACGATAATAATGACAATGTCACATAACCAACAAGAGGAAAATGACACAATTAATTAGAAGACGTTCCATCATTCAGAGAAGCAAGAACGAAAAAAGAAGAGCATTTAGAATGTTTCCAAGAAACAATTCTTGGCCAAACATATAACATCCTTGAAATTAATGTCCAAGAGTATTGGGCTATTCTATGATTCTATCTCAAACAGTGTTGCAAAACGCAGAGTGGGCAGTCATCAATGTCTCACAACTATTGGATCATTGAGTTCATGACCATCCAATGTCTCACACTATGAGACACAAAATTACATCCAGATGAAGTATCCATATTCATATTAGGGAAATAAGATCAAATGCAAACATCCAGACACCAACAATGGATGCACTAATTGGATATATTACACTTAGAATTCATTACCCACAGGAACAAAATGCACATAGGATCCAATCCAAGATTCAATACACTAGAAGAACAACAAAATTAGTCAAAAAAATAATAATGATGAACCAACCTTTCAATCTTTTCTCTCCTTTTCAGAATATCAAAATTGCTTTTCAGCAAGTATTGATCTTCAAATCATAAAAGAAAATTACTCACTTGAAATTTCTTCAACCTGCTGCGGAGTAAGTTTCGCAGAGAATCCACTAGCAGCCGTGTTGTAACTGTACAAAAGCGCCTCTTTCGCAGCCTCATCACTGTTCAAAGAAACAGAAGTCCAATAGAATCACAGATCTCAAAACTTTCAAATCCGATTCCACTAATTCTACCCTAACCCTAATTCTCGAGGAAATTGAAAAAGCAGATCCTACCTGCCAAGTACGGCGGAGAGAGTTCGGAGGTGGTAACGCTCAGGTTCCTCATCCTGAGGCCTCTCAGTGTACACGATGTGAACCGCCGCTTTAGATGAATCGGCAGATTCAACGGCCGGAGTGGTGGACGCAGCAGCTGCCATTTGGATGAAACACGATGACGAGAAGAACAACACGAGAATCGCCGACGATGAGAAGCAGGTAATACGTCCCGGCAGCATAGCTCTGGTATTTATGGAGGAGGAAAGATGGGGATTTTTCTTACGGCTGCAATTTTTGATTTTTCGATATATACTTAATCACGAAGTTATTACAATAAATTCCTAGTATTTATCTAATTTTTTTTAATTGGAAAATCAGATGTTCGATCACGTGCCACCTTGTTGTTACCGTACGCGGTGTACGTGCGAGAGGCAGAATTTTTGTAAAAAATAGTGTTTATATTTTTACTTCTTAAAAATTAAAATT